TTCATCGGCCGCTTCGTTTCCAACAATTAGCAGTATACGTTCAAAAATCACTTCCGGTTTAAATGGCTTCTCAACAGTACTTTCGCCTGGTTCCGATTCGGATCGAGAAGCGTTGACCGAATCGGCTGAACCAGTTAATGGACAGTTGCCTTCCACTCGGAATCGGAAGAATAACGGATGGTTCAGTTCAGTTTCTGGTGAAGAAACACTTTTTGGGTTTGTTTTTGAAAAATGCTCTATTAAAATCAATGATTGTAGGGTTCCGCAGCTTCAAAGCTCAGGTGGGGAGGGGAAAAAAGGGAAAGGAGAGGGGAGGAAAGGATGAAAAAGACGTTATTTTCATCAAAATTTTCATTCTTATTTTCATTGGTCATTTTTATTTTTTTTTAAACTATAACATTTGTTTTCTGTAAACCATGAACCTTCATCTTCGAAATTTAGGGGAGGAGGAGAGGGAGGGGGCGGGGTTAATCTTCCCAAATATACTAGAACTTGTGCTTTTTTTTAAGTCCCCTAACACCTTCAGTGCATTCAGAATCGTACGATCGTCTTTATTTCATGCATTTGAGAAGTGGAGAGTCAGGAAAAGGTCCGATTTCAGCCTGTATTGTGATTTATTCAGTTGAATATGTATTTGAAACATTGCAGGATGTCAAGAATGCAAAGGATTACCGCTTTTTTCATGTCAATTACAGCAGCCTTCTTGTGTTTTGGCACGGTTAGTTAGGGGTTTTTTTTCTTCTTTGTAGTTAGATTTTGCTTAAAATAACTCCTAGAAGATTTAAGTTTTTACAGTTTACAACGCCGGGCTGTAGGGCAAGTAAAAATATATTTTTAAGTCATAGAGAGAAGAGTCATAAAAATCATTCAAGGGAAAGGCGTTCCATTTTCCGATGCGGATTGCTCTCTTTACGGATAGATCTGGCTGAATTCCTTTTTAAATTTAATTTATTTTATCAACACCACAACCGTCATACTGACGAGGTGCAGTTGTGATACTGAATGCGACTTAATGGACCGAAGAATCTTTGTTCATTCAATTACTCAATAAAATTTTATATTTATATATATCGTAATTAATATCACTATTATGCAGCCGATTGTTCAAAATCAAAACTTTAACTGAAGGCGGATGATGCTTACAAAATCTGGGAAGAGCTAATCGAGCGGTACTGGAGTTGAGGCTCCTCTGTGCTAACATAAACATACACACATACATATATACACACACGTACATACACACATATACGTGCGTACATATACACACATGCATATATACATACATACATACATACATACATACATACATACATACATACATACATAAATACATACATACATACATACATACATACATATATACATACATACATACATGCATATATACATACATTAGCTATGTTTTCCTTATTTACCTCGATGCTACTAACATACACGATATTGCAGGCGGTAATTTTACTACCAACAATTGTTATCCAAGCTCGAAAATTTGCAGCACTGAATACGCTTGGATCAGTTATGCTTATTTTGAGGTTTGTTCTTTCATTTTTACTTTTAGGCTACATTTTTTTGTGCCTGCACCTCAAATTGAGGCACAATTTAAGTCTTTTCAATACTAGTTTTTTTGAAGTGAATATCTTGATAAAAGCGGCTTTGTACAGAGGTGAGGTAGAAGAAAATGCAGTTGAAAATTATATGCTAAGCGCCACTAAAAATTGATGAAAATACTTCTGGAAACGATAAATTTAGCTTTAACTATTAGCAAAATGTTTAATTACTAGCAAAATAGAAATGAGGTAGAAGAAAAATGCTATTTGAAATTAATACATTGTTGAAAAACAATAATACTAATATTTTTTCAATCGCGCATGAGCTCTGTTATGAATGTATAAGAACTATTGGAACTAATACATGTGAAGAAGAAAATGTGCTAGTATAAAACGTTTAGGGCTTGTAGGGACTAATATATATATATATATATATATATATATATATATATATATATATATACATAT